AACTGCAAATGATCTTGCACTGTGCAATCCAAAAGGGACTTAAGTTCTAGATGTCAGGAAGACAATCTAGAAACAATAGTCTCAACAGATTAAATCCGTATTTACTGTAGATTTTCTCTCATATTCCCATCTATTAAAGTCGTGAAAATTGACCAAGAAATCCTCTTTGAAGAACAAGATTTGAGAGAAAACTTCAGGAAATGCAAGGAATACAAGAATAACAGAAAGTTAAGTACTTTGCATCCGGGTGTTGTTTTCAATGTGTAAAACCAAAAAAATATCTCCAATATCACATGAATTTTCAAATAATATTTTGACATAAAAAGATGTTTGCAGAAATATTGATTACTGCAAAAGAAATTGAATACTGTAGGATATAACTGAGACTTCTGAAAATATTTTGAGACATGCAAAGTTACAGTTTATACAGACTGCTTATATTCACAGAATCACAGAGCTGTAGGGGTTGGAAGGGACCTCCAGAGATCATCGAGTCCAACCCCTGCCAAAGCAGGTTCCCTACACCAGGTCGCACAAGTCAGTGTCCAGGCAGGTCTTGAACATCTCCAGAGAAGGAGAATCCACCACCTCCCTGGGCAGCCTGATCCAGTGCTCCGTCACCCTCACCTAAAGAAGTTCTTGTGCACATTTGTGCGGAACTTCCTATGCTGCAGTTTCTGTCTCCACACACTGCTGAAAACAGTCTGGCTTCGCCACTCTGCCCCCCACACCTTAGATATTTATAGACCTGGATCAGGTCCGCTCTCAGTCTTCTTTTCTCAAGGCTGAACAGACCCAGTTCTCTCAGCCCTTCCTCATAGCAGAGATGCTCCAGGCCCTTCACCATCTTTGTGGCCCTCTGCTGGACTCTTTCCAAGAGATCGCTGTCTTTTTTGTACTGGGGAGCCCAGAACTGGACGCAGTGCTCCAGATGAGGCCTCACCAGGGCAGAGTAGAGGGGTGGATCACCTCCCTCAATCTGCTGGCCACGCTCTTTGCAATGCACCCCAGGATGCCATTGGCCCTCTTGGCCACAAGGGCACACTGCTGGCTCATGGCCAACCTGTCATCCACCAGGACACCCAGGTCCCTTTCCGCAGAGCTCCCCTCCAGCAGGTCATCCCCCAACCTGTACTGGTGCATGCAATTATTCCTCCCCAGATGCAAGACTCTACACTTGCTTTTGTTAAACCTCATCCAGTTTTTTTCTGCCCAGCTCTCCAGCCTATCCAGGTCTCGCTGAATGGCAGCACAGCCTTCAGGCGTGTCAGCCAATCCTCCCAACTTCGTATCATCAGCAAACTTGCTGAGGGTGGCCACTATCCCCTCATCAAAGTCATTGATGTTGAACAAGACTGGACCCAGCACCGACCCTTGAGGAACACTGATAGTTATAAGTCTCCAACCAGACTCTGCACCGCCAACGGTGACCCTCTGTGCTCTGCCAGTCAGCCAGTTCTCAACCCACCTCACCATCCACTCATCTATCCCACACTTCCTCAGCTTTGTTATAAGGATGCTGTGGGAGACAGTATCAAACACCTTGCTGAAATCAAGGTAGACTACATCCACTGCTCTCCCCCCATCCACCCAGCCAGAGACAACATCATAGAAGGCTACCAGGTTGGTCAAGCATGACCTCCCCCTAGTGAACCCATGATGACTACTTCTGATAACCTCCTTTTTTTCCAGTTGTCTGGAGATGGCATCCAGCACCAGCTGTTCCATCAACTTTGCAGGGATGAAGGTGAGGCTGACTGGCCTGTAATTACCTGATCTTCCTTCTTGCCCTTTCTGAAGACTGGAGTGACATTGGCTATCCTCCAGGGTATTTGCAAACATATATATGTCTACACATGTATATATCTACATCAATTTACATAATCTCATTTCAAAGCTTCTCACAGAAATAAATCAAGAATGCTGAAAGTAATAATAGTCAAACTGCCCATATAGAAAAAAACAAAAATAAAACTTAAAGAAATTGCTGAGATATATCAATATTCTAAGATACGAATCACATATACAATGTTCTTATGTACATTAATGGAGACAGAAATTCTTCCAGTTTCCATACACTTCATAATGATTCTTTTCACAAAATAAGATCAATAAAAACATGTCTATATTTGTTATTGTTATAAGCTCCTCTGTTCTACTATTTTATTTTATTCTGAAGTGATGTTCTTCTCACATTCAATCATTAGAATTCACATTTGACTGCTGTCTCACCCTTCATCATTATCACTTTATTCATGACTGTTACTATGTGCCTGTTTTCTCAACTATTCTCACACCTTTCATGCATGAAGTTAATGGATTTTACACTCATTTTGCAATCCATTAGTTCATCACCTACTGGGTACTATTTCAATCATAGCCAGTGGCTAGAGAAGAATACATGGGTATGTGACTATGAATATCTCTTTAGCTTTAAAATTTAGGATTTTTTTTCAGTTTTAAGTAATATTTCAGTTAGTAACAACCTGAAGCAACAGCACAGTACAGCTTTCGCCCCACCAAACAACCTCTTCTAGAAAAGTGCACTATAGGTTTTCTTTTTTGTGTGTTTTGTGTTTTAAATTCCAAAGATGTGCCAAACATGAGAAAAACTTTGTGAAAGATTCTGAGAAGGAATTTTAGAGAAGAATGCATTCCATGCACAGTCTAATGGATTCAAGGCAAATTCACTGTTCAAAATGGAACCTGCTGTTTTCCTAGTACCGACTGAGCAAATACCAACATTCACCAAGGATTCTAAAACTCAGAGCACCCACACCATGAAGCCTGGCTGCCCTTTTGGAAACAGTACAGTAGTATTGCAGTCAAATCAAACTCTGGCTGAAGACTAAATATTTACACTCAGCTTTATAACCTTTTTTTACTCTTGTCTGAATTTTGAACTCAATCAGTCAAGCTGCCCCAAGGTAAGCAATCATTCAGGTGCTTTCCTACTGAAAAACTACCACTTGGCTGCAAACACAAACGTTCCACCTCATACTGCAGTTTGAAGCAGTACAAATATGCATTGCTTCTAAGAAGAAAAAAAATACATAGGTTTTAAAATAGAAGACCTGCAAATTCATACTCCATCTCCTAAAAATTAATTTGCCTGGAAAAATCTTCTGGCATGTATTTCCAATAAAATCATTTTACAACATGAGTATAAAATACCTGCTGGCGTGCTAAAGCACCAATTTGATTCCTAACATATCAGTCCTGAGTAAGTGAGGTAAGTTCATGCCTGACACCTTCTTGCAGAAATGCACACTAATTTGACTTTCTCCAAAATTATCATCATCACTACTTTCAGAGAATATACTTTCAGAATAAATTTGTATGACACAGACTGGTTCCCTGTGCCTACAGCTGAATGATTACTTCATGCTCTTGTCTAGGCCACCAACACTACAGCTAACATAGGCCCCCACAGCAGTAAACTCAAGGAGCACTTCAAAGGCTTAGCAATGCAGAGGCTATGCTTTCAATGCTCGAATTTTCAGAAATGAGGTGGCTGCTTTAAAGAGGTCTGCACGAACGTTTACTTTATTGCCAGCCTCAGCAACATGGACATATCTTCATTAGCCAAGCTCTCCTAACAAGAGTGCAAGATCAAATCATTTATCGTGAGTCAAATGTGTTGGTGAAGCTTTCTATAGCACTCTAAAGATTTATATTTGTGACTTTTTCTTCCCTAGTACTGGAGAGATAATGTGTATACGCATAGAGGCTATCTCTGGCAGCTAGCTAATTATTCTCCCATGAATTACAGGTACTTTCAGACAACACCAGCCCTATGAAAGCTACTTATCTGTAGTAAAAGTTAGAAGACTATATGAACTATGTAGCACAGCTATTCTAATTTTTGCATTAATTTACACATCACAGAGGAGACATTTTTTTCCATCTCCAAAAGCATATTCGTGATTTTCTTGTCAAAAAATGAAAATTATTTTAATACCTAGAAGACTAGGGAAAGCTTTTGCTGAGTGAGGGGCGGAAGGTTGTTTTATTTCTCTTCATAGTGAGTACGGAATTTTTTATCTGAGAAATTGTGGGCACACGATTTAACCGCTTCCTTGAAGAGCAGGAAGGGAACTGCTCACAGAGACCTTTTCCTCTCCTCTGAGGGCAGAGGCCCCTCTACTTCTGATAAGTACTCCAGTTCCTAAAAATGCTCTTCTTTCCCCACCACGCTGCCTAAATCTGTGATGGAGCTAAAGGCAAGAGATAAGCCACCAGTCTGTATGATGTGCATTAAATTCAGCATGCAGGTTACCAGGAGAAGCAGTCCATCTGGGAATGCTGCAGTAAGTGCAGCACATTTTCTTCCACTTTAGTCTCAATTGTCATCCTTTATCTGCATCCAATGAGTAGCTTTTCCTAACCTTGGCTGCAGCATCATAAGCTCTCAAATATTTCTCCTAGACTTCCATCCACATCAAGCAAAAGGCAAAAAAAAAAAAAACCTTCCCACACTCAAGCCTCCAAAAAAAAAAAAAAAAACCCCAAAAAAACCCATAAACAACAAAAACACCCCAACAAAATACTAAGCCATCTGATAATTATCTGTAACGTTTAAATAGACTTTAAAAATTACAAATTTTGTTAAGAGTATGATAGCATTTGAATTCACTGTAGACATATGCAGAGACAACCACAAAATCAAGCTGATTTTGTACCAAAATCCACACAACATGTAAAAGTAGTAAATCGTTATTCACTCAAAGTTACTGAGAAGAACAGCCACTGCTATGGAAAAATTTTTCAATCATGTGATGTTCTCCAGAATGTCACTAAATTTATACTATTAGAATAATACTTCTGAAAATGATTTCCCATATTTATGATATAATAACACAGTAAAAGAATAGAAAAAGCAGTTTATTGCTACATGCCTCTGTAAACAAAATGGCTGCTTGCCTGCTAACATCATAGTATTTCACAGTGAGTAATCAAAAAGTAATTTTTGTAACTAGAAGACAAAATAAACAATTTACCTTGTGTGGATTGGTCAATATTTTTTCTTTTTCTGCTTTGACTGTTGTAGTTCAGTCTTAGCTCTTGGCTGTATTCATTCAGAGTTTCTCTTGAGTCATAAGACTGCCTTTGCTTTCTGCCATCTTCACTCTCATCTGAAGAACTTGTGTAAGTTAGATCCACTTCATGTTTAACTTTTGACAGTGGCTGGTAGGGTTTGCAATCCATCTGCTCCATCTCTGGCTGAATAGGCTCAAAATCATGAAAACAAGCAACTGGAATTCCTTAAAGAAGGAGTCCTGAGAAATAAAAAAAAAAAAAACAAACAAGAATTGCATTCCGATATCATATTAACGCTCAAAAGGCCGGTGTTATTTTCAGTCAACATAAACCAATCAAATTGAATTTGAATCACTATGATTCAGGAGAAAATATGAGTATGCCCTATTTTGCTGTTTTGCTTTAAAAAATGGTGTTCAAATAACAGTAACTTTAAGTACTAACCCACCATGCCAAGCAATAATCATGCTTTATGCACAGAATCTGTTACCTGTTTTGTATTAAAGGTCCTTGAAACTGTTACTCTTTCTCTAAAGAAATATTCATGTGCATTTATTCTAAGTGAAAATAAAATCTTAATTCATTTTAAAATATGAAGCCTAGAAACCAGAAAGTTCACTGTTTTGAAGTATTTTCTTGTAAATAGAATTACATTTAATTAAGAATAACAGACTTCTCACTTTAGAAAATAGTCAGACTTAGAAAAACAAGAATATCCTTGTGTTACTCTACAAGAGCAAATAGTGGCTCCAAAAGAGGACATTTTCCTTTCAGGCTGTGTGGGCATCTCAAGAGGAGGCTTCCACCATGCAGCACAACCCCTTTTTATCCTTCTCATCACCTGTCTATACACTTACTGACACGGGGGCCATGCTGATCCTCAACAAAACCTTCTGAACTGCAACTTGCAGTTTGGGATGTCATTAAAACGATGCTCAAATACAGTATCATTAAAATCAAGTGGGCTGCAGTTGCATGCGTACTTGCAAGGTGTATTCGCTGTACAATCCTGCTTTCATGAAGCTGTTTCTATCATGCATTTTAATGCAAACTCTGTGATGAAATAACAGGAATGGATGACACGCCTTCTACAGCAGCAGCATGTTTCTCAGACAGTGAGCTCTGAGAAAGTAAGCTTGCAATTTCACTTAGACTAACAGATGGCTATTATCTTACACAATGAAATGTAACAAAAAGAAGGCTGTAAATATCACTACTAGATGACCAAAACCAAACAAGTTAAGCAAGATTTTACTTAATGAAAAAGCAATCAATCACATCTTCATGCTGATCCTAAAGTCAGCAATGGAGAGAAGGAAGTTAATGCCTAGTCTGTCATCAGCCTAACTTCCCATCTGCAACACGGACTTGTAATCCCACACGTCCTCAGCAACCACAGAAAGTGAAAAGACACAAAAGACAAGCACAAATGTTAGAGAAAGCACTTCTTGTCACAGGACTACAGACTTGAATTTAACTTCTGCAATTGTCTGAAGGCTTGAAAAACAGCAGTGCTACCACTGCGTTTAAGCACAGCAAAAGCACATCTCCCGTGGACCCCCAATACTTTTGAAGGACTCAGCATCCTGAGCAGGAGTGGCAAAACCCTGACAGGAAAGCAGAAACCAGGCCAACTCAACTGCACAGACAGAGAGGTGAAAGACTCATCTCTGCTCAAAACAAAATCTCCAGGAGTTTTATCCAACTATTTAACCAGAGATGGAACAGCTCTTCAGAAACAAATACAGAAGGACCTGAATAAAGAGCTCTAGTGTACTAAAAAGAAAAAAAGAAGCTCAAATCTCTTACACAACAAAGCGGGCTTGAAAGCACATGAACTAATAAAAACTCTTCAACAGGGAAAAGGAAAACAAAAAGCTGAGCCAAACAAGCTTCCTGCCTGACAGAGATGCATGCACTGGGGCACAAAGCTCCATGCTCTGGGTATGATCACATCATATCAGGTCAGTGTTAAGATGGTTTTGTAGACAAGCTACTAATGCTGCTATCTACCTTTCAAAGGCTATTTGCCTAAATAATTTACTACTATTTACCAACATTTCCTAAATGAATACTCATTCTATGAGTTGCTTTAATACTCTGTGATAGAAGAACTCAAAGCGCCATGACTCAGAGACATGAGGGTGGCTTAAAAGATTACTTGACGGCTCTGTAGAGATGGTCAGTGGTGGGGAAAAGCCTCCCCACACATCCTATCTGACAGAAAAATGGAAATGATGCTACAGAAATGAGGGAAAAATGGGGAGATACTAAGGGCCTCTGCTGACAAAGTGCAGGAGATGACAGAAATTGTGCCGTGAAGACAGCTAGTGTGAGAAACCTCACACACACACAGTGCATCCCTCTTTCAGAAGCACAAAACATCCAACCTGACATACTTAGCTCCTTAGTACAGTTATAAATAATAACAGAAAGAAAAACCCACACATTTTTGGGCACACCTTTTGCTCTCAAGGTAGAATCATACAACTCCTGGGGTTGGAAGGGACCTCCAGAGCTCATCCAATCCAACCCCCCCAAAGCAGATTGCACAGGAAAACATCCAGGTGGGTTTTGAACTCCTCCAGAGATGGAAACTCCACAGCCTCTCTATGCAGCTTGTTTGAGTGCTCTGAACGATTTAGGAACAATTAAAACTCACAACCTACTTACAAGCATCCCAACCACATTCCCCATCCTCTGGGACCCCCTGACATCTCCTGCAGGGTCACACCTCCACCTGCAGGGTGCTGAGGGCTGGCCCACGTGTGCAGGCTGCAGTGCAGCCTTTCACAGTGCAAGTGCTGCAACTGGGGGCCAGGTCTAACCCTGGCTGACTGCAAGGTGCCAAGGGCTGTGCTTGGTTTTCTTTTATTTTCACCTGGTGCGTGAATGTGCCATAAGACCGTGCCTATATGAAAGCAGGTGATAAATCATTTGCAAGATAAGGACAAAAAGAAAACCACCATGAACTTTTTCAACACAAAGTCATCTTATATGAATCAGGAACACACAATAAAGTTGAGACCACTTCTTGCACCAGCAATCAAACACTTGACTTTCTTTTATATTTTGTTAGGAAAAAGGCAACATACTAAACAACAACCAAACTTCTGGAGTAAGTCTGGAGTTTAAAGAATATTGCCTGGATGTTGACACAGGTTTCTGTTCAAATAACTGGCTTTCAAGTAACTAAACAAAACACCCAACTGATCAATATCCAGCTGACCTTGTCAGCAAAATAATTAAGTCTCATAAAAGCTTACAGTTGCTCCAAGTGACCTTTGTACAAGTGTCTTAATGCTTTCCTTCTCATTGAGCACTTTTTCCATCTTCTCATTAGCATTCTGTCATTAAAAGTTTTAATTGACATTTAACAATATAAACTTTATAAAATATATCAACCTGTTACATCTAATACGTAAATTATATAAATATTTTCATGTAGGCACTGAAATGCAAGTACTACTCAAACTCTGAAATAGGTATCACACAAAGTTTCCAGTGTTATTTAGAGATGTGAGGATATGGATAACGGAGCTGAAGAAGGTCTTCCATAAGCATTTAAGAGTAAGGACATGAAGCACTGGGACCTTTTTTGGCCTTAGCTGATCATTACATCCAATCCTCAGAATGGACTCATAAACTTAAGTACTTTGAAAAATCTGGGGTCCTGAGATCCAAACTACATAGAATTAAAATGTAACTGCAGTTACAATGCTAAAATATAAGCAAGCAATATTCATTGCTTGCAACATGAATTCAAAAGACGGCCTTCAGCAATTCCTTTTTTCAGTCTCAGTGAGTTTTTCTATCAATTACAACCACCAAATGCACATTTGCTCAATTCCCTCATACGTTACTTTGCCTTCAACATACACCCTTATTTGAAAGTTAGCATTTGCTTATTACATCTTCAGACAACTGATTTCTGAAAACGAATGACTAAGCAGAAACTGCATCTCTGAGTAGCTGAAGGCAAAATGATGGCATCGTTATTATGAAAATCTATTCTGAAATACAGAACTGCAAAAAAACAAATGGGAAACCAAAACCAAACACAGGATTTAAATCTTTGAAAAATGCAATATGAGGAGGAAAAAGAAGAAAAAACAAAGGGAAACAATCTTGTGACATTGTGCTGACCATCAAAACCATACCCCTCAAATATTTGTTTAAGCATCAAAAGCAAAGAAAGTCCTTTCATCCTTTTAAGTTCTACATTTTACAGAACAGTTAAACACACTAAGAAAGCTAGCAGTTGAACAGCCATATACTAGGAACAAACTAGATCCTATATGGCACATAAAATCACAGTATGAACATATATGGAAAGTCTGTTTAGTTTTGCAGGATGGAAGTAGCTAAAACTTTCCTCTGGAAGGAAAAAAAGTCATACAACAACTAAGAAAGAATAATTGAAGTTACCCCTGATGAAAGACTGCAAAGAATTTGAAAAACAAATAAACAAATCCAAAAGTAACCTAAATTTACATGAACGTTTTTAGTGGATTATAGAATTGGAGCACACCAGAAGATGTTGGAAGATGGCATAACAACGTGTGAATCACTGAATGTCTTGGGGCCAAAATGTCTCTGTGTATACGATTCTGAAATTGACACATTGCACAATTCCTGCCTTAGAGTGGACTACATAGTAAATCAGACATGCATATGCAAAATGCAGCTGTCAGGAACACACCACGGGTTTAACACACTCCCTAGAGGATGCAGGGTTATAACCTGTAGGTGAATTATATTTCTCCATACATTTACATGCTGTGATAGACAGAGGAGGGTTGTTTCATTTCCACACTTACTAGCGTTTAATTAAAATTACTCAAAATATAATTTAATTTTAGTTAGCAAAATAATTCAGAATGTTTTCCCTTTTATCCACAGTTTCAGAGAGAAACCACTAAAGAATAAAGCCATAAATAAAGTCAGTCAGGTTGCTGCAGACTGACAAGACTGCAAGACTGACATGAACAGAAAAACATACATTATATAATCTGCTCAACTGTGACACCCAATTCTTGGCCAACATGTGCCCTGCACTTGTGAATTGCTACTGACTGCAAAATCACACACATCCCTAATGCCTTCTTTTGGATGCCAGTCATCTGATGCTTGTGAGCACAAGAGTTCAAGCATGAAAGATCAGTCTCTAATGCTGG